ATTAGATTTATTTATTTATTTATTATTTGCTACTATTTATAAAAAATGACACGTTTATTAAATGGGTTGGGTTTGAGTTTAGCATTCTTGACACATATATAATCATAACATGACACGACACAACCCATTGCCAGCCCTAGTTATTAACATCATTTTTCACTTGAGCAATTTTCAAGTAAAGTTTTGCTATCATATTCTAGTTACAATATCATAAGTGACGAGTTATATAATTAAGTACTAGCATCATCTTGTTGTTGTTGTTTTTTTTTTTTTAAAGTCAATTATGATCATCTTAACATTCATAAAATTTTACCTAAGGAGTGTAGTTGCTTAGATGTAAGGATTAAAATGGTATTACCTAACTTAATTACTCAAGTAATTTGATCAAGACTCCCTATCATTTATGCATGTGAAATCTTCTTTGCATTGTCATTGCAAGCATTACACCTTATCCATTCGAGTTCATTTTTAAATTATTATTTGTTATATTTGGTATGGCATAATAAAATTGATATTGAAGGAAGGAAATTTGAACACAAGACTTCGGGTACACGGGTAACTACTCTTTAAATTCGTATAGACCTAAAACCTAAAAATTAAAATAAAAAATGAAAAACAAATACAAATATGATATATGGTATAAATATATTTACAATTGTTCCTTCTAATTTTAATTTTTGTTTATAAATTCTGGTTGTTCCACAATTTAACCACCGCAGCATCTTTTTGTTTTTCGTCGACATCACTGTAAGGTAGGGTTTAGTCAGTCCGAACACTTAATTAGGTGGCGAGAGTTAGGACGGTGCAAGTGTAAACAACATGACCAATTTGGACACGTAAATTCCAAAAAAAATATATTATAATATATTATTATATATGTATCTTGCTTAATTAAATAATAAATAAATAATGAGTTTGCTGCTGCGGTTGGCCTTATTATTGTTTCTTTTTCTTTTGCTTTTCTGTGAAGAGTCAAAGTTGGATGTTGTTAATTGTCAGAGATTATTTTTCTACCATAATTGTCCTCACATCTGTGCCCGAACCAGGATTGGATCCTGGAGTAGAAGGGAGGGTATATTTGTCTTTTTTGCTTTTGTGCTGAGCTGGCCACTTTAAAGTGCGGGAAAGTGAGTTTGTCAAGTGGAAGCGTGTATGTTTAAGACTTAAGAAGCTCTTAATTTAATTATAATAATTTAACAACGTCCACATCAACCAGTGGGAAGGCTAGAAGGAAAAAGCCATTAGAAAAGTTGTTGCCTTGGTTTGGAAATGTAGGCAACCCACGATTTTGACTGTAAATAATTTTTCGGTGTATTTTTTAAAGTTAAAGCGATAATTTATACTGTTGGCGCTAAAAAGTGGTTCTTTGACTTTGAGGGTCAACTTAGTAATTTTATGCCTTCGGTATCCTTGATGCCTCGGTAGTCTGTGCGATCTGCAATATGAGCAAACACACGGTAAGACCTAGGGCACCGGTGTGGTACCGGCCGAAGGCTCTCCGATACTTAAGTAAGTTCGGGAATAGAAAGTTTAACTGACAGATCAATAGGCTTGTATGCCGTTAGTTCTGATTACCCTCATTTTGGGATAGTTGGCCTCCTTTTATAGGCCTGGGGAGGTGTGCTTTTTGTTGATAATTTCGATGTGGGACTGTGGACGTCGCTTGGGAGCGTGCCACGTGTCCCAGGAGAGGGCGTTGCCCTAATGGAGAGATCGGTAGGTATGGTGCCGAGGGCGCCTCTGACCAAGCCCAGTTTCCTCCACGTGTCTTGCTCTTATTGGCTGTTTATTCTGAGTGTAAACATATACTACAAGAAGAAAAGAGACCATACAGTCGATAACTGAAACGAAAAGCTAAATAAGTAGAACAAACCAAAAGACGATCTAAGTCGATAAAGAAAAATAACCCATCATCACAGCGCACACCATTAAGCAAAAAAACCAAGATGCAATTACTTGCCAATCAACACGTACACGACGGAGGGGCCAACATCAAGATAATTATAAAAATGACTATATATGTACTGATGAGAGGATTAGAAAAGGTCTAATTGTGGCTCCTCCCTGCACGTGATTTGAAGACGTGGAATTGGATGACTTTTGGTCATGTTCCAAAAAGGATGCACAAGTTGGAGGATTTGCTTGCACTTGCAAATATCTTTTAGCGACAATCTCCTGCATGCTCCAACAAATTACGATCGTTTCCCAAAACCAGACCAGACCAGACCAGAGTGTTTGGACCCGGTTTTTTGGGGACCCTTAGTGGGCTCAGTTTTTGGATTAAATAGTGGGCCTTTAGGGTTTAATCCAGTTTAAATTAAAATAGTTTTTGTAAAGTTTTCTTTTAAAAGATGACTCACTTATTACAAAAGAGATAGACCCCAGCCTGTGGTGCTGATCAAGCAGCTTGCTTGTCGAGTATCGTGGGTGACATCGGCGATTGGTAGTTCCAAGGCCGACGTAGATGAAGATATTTGCAGAAATAGGAATGAAAGGAAGTTTTGGGATTCGTGAGTGAGGAAGAAACCACCAGGGCGTGTTAGACATGCAAAGACTTGGGAGGTGGGATATTTTGGTTCGAGCTTACATTGGTGGCATATTCTTCTATACTATAAATGACTCAAATGGTCTTTAATTTGTACCCGATTTACATTTTGGTTCTTAAACTAAATTATTCGTTCAAACAGTTCACCAACTCTTTATTAATCAGCGCTTTGGGCATACCGTTACATTTTCTGTTAAATTTAGTCATGTGAGCAGCACATGCTACATTTGTGGGGGTAAATAAGACTTTTGACCTACGTATCACCCCTTTATCACCATTGTACATGCATCACCACTCTATCACTTATGTATCACCACTTTATCACCTATTTGTGGAACATAGGACGCTATTGGACGGTTTTACCCTTACATTTGACAACAACATTAACACAATGTAACGGTAGGATCAATGGAGCTATTAATATAGAGTTGATGGACCATTTGAACGAATAATTAATTGAGGGACCAAAATGTAAATTAGGTATAAATTTGAGGACCATTTGAGTAATTTACACTTCTTCTATAAATAGAAGGAGCAATTTCAGAAAAAAAAAGAACATCCAACACAATAAAAAAAACAAGTTGAAACGCTGCTCAAGTGCACTCTCAAATTTATGTTTTACTTTCTTAGAATTTCATGTAATCTTATCAACAAGATATTTGTTCATCAAATTTCCTAAGCACCATGCATTGTAAACGTTCATCCAGTATATCAACAAGATTTTCTTTGTTCCCATTCAGAGTTTATCTCGAGCACTATTTAATCCATACCTTCACAAATATTCTTTACTTTTCGAGTTTATTTGTGAGAGTGTCGTTCAGTCTCAAGCTAACAATATAAAAAAGCATTGTTGCCAATGTAAAAGAACCAACGGCTGAGAGGTGTTCTTTCCTCAGCCACGATCCCTCCGGTTAGGAAGTCAAGATCATGCGCGTTTATCCATATCATATATTACACTCACTCGCACGCATGGCCATTGAGGTCACCGTGCTAACACGCCTTAAACAAACACACATCCCAAGAAAGACGCCTAGTTGGTACTGAATTCTTCGGCCGGTTGCACTATGATTTTCTTTTAAGATTCTGAAACGAGTATTGTTGTAGGGTACTTTTTCCAGCTACCTTTACTTATACTGCTCTTATGGATGGTATTTGCAGAGCAGGAAGAATATAAGATGCACAAAAGTTGTTCGCTAAGATGCAATCTTTGTGGCCAATCTGCGGTCTTCTGCTGTTTTATTGGATGGTCTGTTTAAAAACCAACATGTTGACATGGAAATAGAATTTTTCAGAGAGCTCGAAATGCAAGATGTTGGGTCTCATGGACATTGTGATTTACGCTATTCTTATCGAAGGTTTGTGCGTAGCTGGAAAAATCAAACATGCGATGCGAGGGACCTCATTTCTGGTTTACCATCAGAAGGCCTTCAACATACCAAAATGATTGATGGACTCTGTGCTAAAGTTGATACTTAATTGTAATATTTTATGTTGAACTATTTTGGATTGCACTTAGGATGTATCTTTTCTTATATCTTACTGCATAAAACTTTCTCACAGCTGTTGGATTCATTTGACCACTTTGGTTTGTACATCATCCGAGAATATATCGCAACTCAATCTTGCAGATATGGACTGGTGAAGTTGTTGGTACTTGGTTCCTCCTCTAGATTTTCTCCCTTATTGTTTCATATCCATTAATTTTGGATTGTCTGTGAAAGAAGGTTTCTCTGCCAGCCTAGAGGATGATAGCAATCATGTATGCTTTCAGTGAATGAGTTTCAGCATTAAAGTGTAGCCAAATTTCTGAAATATGCGGTTAGAGGAGAGGGCCAAGACCCATGCCCCTTGTAAAATAACACAACTTCACAAGGAACAGTTTACTTGTATCAACACAATCAGATCCTATTTTGCTTCCAAGTTAAATGAAATATGACAGTTTACTTGTATCAACACAATCAGATGGTTTGCTTGCTCGAATTGAATCTTTGAACCAATGAAATGTCCGGCCTGCATTGGTTCGCTTTAGGAATCGAATCATTAGCCTAACCAAACCAAACCAAGCCCATCTTTATAAATTCAGTTGGTTCGATTTGATTTGATCGGTTTAGGAAATTTCCAAAGAGACCAAATTGGCCACCAAAACTGTAACATGGCAGTTTCCGTTTGTTCACAAATAACACCTTCTGTGTGGGTAAAAATCGAACCAAACTGAACGCATTTGCATACTTTCGTTCGTTTGAATGGTCTAACCGGTCTTTTTACCATCCATACAAAAGGGGATATCAAACCATCAACCTGTTCTTCATTTTTAAAACTAGAAGAGTTTTACATCAAGAAATGTAAAAGACAAATTTATCCAGAGATACAAGAATTGAAAACTTAGTATATGTCTATATATATATATATATATATCTCACATAATTACACTAGAACATTTCTTTAACACTTTATAGTAGTGGATACGCATAAGCTACTTCATTTATTTAATTAATATAAAGAGGCTACTCCGACGGCGGTTTTTGATGGCTAAACCATCAGATGATCAGTTGGGGATGAGCTTGAAAGGAGGCTTAACAAGAGCAGGTGCTGGATCATATCTTCCATAGTCTTTGCTGTTAGCTTTCAGCAGCCTTTCATGAATCATGGCAGCTTCCTTGTGGTTCAATGGCTTCCCTAACGTTTCCTACCGCGAAAAAAAAATCAAATTATGAGTGAGCTGCAAAACTTAAATTTTGTGTACACTACAACTAATACTAATTAAACTTGGCCTGTGAACATGGGAATTTTTGTTGAATGGTGAGATATGTTGACTGAAATTTTTTACTAAAAAAGCTTACTAATTTGAAGATGGTTTGATTTTCGAGAAGAAGAAGGAGGAGGAGATCATAACCCAAAAATTTCTGAAGGCTTTTTTACATACAAACCTCTGGAATTGCATCCACTTCTTTGGCCAACTTTTTGACAAACTTGGAACTTCGACCTGCAAATGCAGTTCATATCATGCATATTTTTAAAGGTGAAATTCTGCTTTTTTCTCTGGCATAATTAAATATTAAGCACATCATCATATGGTTAATAATAGTTAACTAATGGTCTGTTGCACAATCCTAGAAGAAAAAGCATAACAGCAGCAGCAGTAGCAGCAGCAGCAGCAGCAGCAACAACATATTGCGACGGAGCGATGCTACATTATATGCACATACATGTGCATGCATGCATGCATGCATACATACATACATAAACATGTTTATATATTTATCTCCAATTCTTTAGTAACAGCTCTGACAATGTATGTGGTTATATGACTAATTAAAAACCAAAGGCTGCAGTGGAAGACTTAGAAAGACCAACCTGCAGCAGAAGAGGCTGATAAAAATGATGCTGAAATCAGGAGAAAGAGGATGCTGAACTTGTTGAAGAACATGAAACCCATGTTGAGCAACTTTGTTGTTGTTAAGCTCTTTTTTCTCTTCCAAGATACAGAGAATTAGTGGAGCAAATGATACATGCTTCCTATATATCTATATTAATGCAATGAACATTATAATTGACTTAAAGGAAATTGAAATTTAATTATAAATAAATGAAAGCTTTATGCTTTTTAGTTTTGAATTCTAATGAAAAGTTGACATAGACCACTTTCCTCCTGTTGGGGCACTAAGTCTAAGAAGTTAGTGGACTGATGATATAGTTAATTAACAGAATAGTACTTAGAATGAAATGACCTTCAGTGGAAATTACCAAAATACCCCTTAATTGTCTTATAGAGCAGAACCTGGTAGTAGCAAACCATTTAGGGTTTTTTGAGCTTGGTCAATACTTGTTGACTTCAGTTATCAGTAAACCCAGAAGGACTGAATTGGAAACTTCAGATAGCAGATGGGTTTTGGTGATTAGGTTATTGTTTGTTCTGTGGTTGTGCTCAAATTAAAAAGATACATTAGGTATAAAAATAGCTTTGATGGATGACTAGTGATTTCAATTATCTATAAAGACAAAGACAACACACCAAATACCACTGAAATGACACTGGTGGAGAATAAAGAGAAGCTTGCACAGTGATATTTTAAATACCTACCTTTCTTTTAATTTCTTTTATATAGAAAAAGTGGTGTTAGGGCAGCCCTTAACTTAAGCAAACCATCCTTACCTTTGCCTTCAATAATTTGGCCAATCTATTCCTTCCCTAACATCCAGTCAATTGAGAAGATATACATCATTTGATTAATTAGTCTGATCTTAGGCATGGTTAGCAAGCATATGATAGTGGAAATGTGGGATGTTGTGCACTAATTTGAGGAATTTTAGTGGAAAGTTTGTTTGGGATATTTGTGATGTTTCCCATCAATCAAAACAAGTTCATCTACCTCACTTGGATATTGAAGGTATAGTATGGCCAATGCATGCATAATTAATTTTGTTGTTTCCCTCAAAAAGAGAGAGAGAGAGAGAGAGAGAAAGAAGCAAATGTCATATATATGTTACCCACTTTAACAACTAATTGCAATTAGTATAAATATAATCATTATTGAGTTGTGGTTAAGTACTAGGCAGCATATGCAATTGCAAATATGAAATGCATTATTGTAAATTTCTCTGTCAGCTTTTCTGTTCTGCATAGGATAAGATTGTTTTAGGTTCCATTGAATTGCATGTCTTGGTAGGCTATCCTAGGATAGGATATGGCTACAACCTTGGTCATGAATGTATCTTCTTTTTCATTAAAGAAAATGATATGCACTGGATTTGTGCCCGTTAGAGTGAAGGATAACAGAGTGGAATGACAAATGTGCACAGAATATGAACATACCCACATAAAATATCTCCTGAAATCTCCTTGTTGGGATTGGCACTAACTTTATACAATATATAATCAGTACCTGTAAGCTTATTCTGAAGGTTATATTGGAAATAATCCAACTTTTGACCCTAACATTTTTCCTCACCCTCTCCCACCACTTATGGCTTAATCAAACATCTGATTATTTTTGTATTTTCTTTCCCTTGTTTGTAAACTACTCAAACATCCAAGCATGATCTCACCCCAACCTATGCTTTTGAGGAAAGGGATGTTAGTAGACCCAAAGACCTTTGGCCCTCCCAACTTCAGCAGCCTATGTTTTTGGTGAAAGAAATATGACTGGGCCCGAATATTGATTCAACTTTCCCTGAGCCTGACTAGTGAGAGAGAGAGAGAGAGAGAGATTGCTAAAAAATTTGTAAATAGGTAAAACAGAATTTAACTAGACATTCAGTGATTACCACCACACCATCTTTGCAAGTTCATTAATAGAAACGATTCTAAAATAGGCAAATCTGTGATCAAATTCTTCACAGGATTTTAAGTAAGATTCTGAATTAGCATTTCTAGGCCAGATGACCACTCAATCATTATGTATCTCAGTAAGAAAGATTGGTAGCCTTAAAAATACTACTGGCAATTTCTGTAGCTCATTCATATACATACAAAAGGAATACAATACGATTTTGCACATTGGAGTACAACAGAAACAGCCAAGGTTGAAGCAAGTCAAAGGTGCATACTAAACTAATCCAATCAAGAGCAAACATATTCCTCCAAATTCAGCAGATGGCTATGATGCTATTAAGACAACCTTTCACCTTCGATATGCCCACATACATCACCGTGAAGATGGAATTACTATGTTCATAGATGCAATTATGACGATGACGCAGAATCTATCTTGGTGTCATTTTCATGGCGGAGACTGTTCTCTCTACTATAAGCAGCCTTTGCACCCTGAAAAATAATGGAAATTTGAGGTTTGTTAGATGAAAATGTAACGATATATGCAAATAACAATTACTCATTTCAAAGGTTTAGATCAGGCCCAAAAAAATAATTCAGAAGTTTAGGCCCTGGATGACATATTGCTAGAATTCAAAGGAAAATAAAAGCTTACTTGGAAGACTGTTCCTAACTTTTTCAATGCTTTAGCCCGTCCCCTCAGAACATCCTTGGACACAGTGGGGTCTTTAAGTACCTGAAAAAGAACAGTTCTTGAATCATTTTTCAAATGCTACTAGAGGCTATCTTCGATTCAAACTACCTATATTCTTTCGGATCACTCCCTAAATTGATTTATTTTTCCACTGGATTTTGTCTGTTTTAATTGAAGTTTGGTATGCAAGAACGTTTGCCATTTAATGTCCACAGACAACAGGCAGATATTTATCAGAAAAGGTTACCATAGCAGATGGTACTTTTGCATGTCATTAATTTAAGGGAGACTTAGGCATTAGTACAAAACTTAAAATGAGCAAATCAATGATATTTGATTAGCTCCTAGATGCCACTTGAGGTTCCACAGTTACAATTAAGTCTGCTGGCACCACCTTTATTTCTAAGTAAAAGAGAACTGAGGTCAAATTTGAGGCCAATGTACTCCATCTTAACAATCATCAAGAAATTTTAATGACTTTGCCAAACACCAAGTGTAAGAGACGAAATTCACCTACCAGCTTTTCGGTCCTTTTGGGGTTCTGAAAACCCAGAAAAAATGTGTAGGGGAATTCAGTTAATGATCCACTAAGATTTTCCAAATGAGTTAAATCATGTGTCACACACTTGCATAAAACCATGTGAACACCATAACCTAAGATATAACTCAAATTATTCAACCTAATACCACACAGTAATAGCTTGCAGGAAGAACTATTATTTTGTTAAGGTTAACAAAGGAAATACTGGAACTCACAGCTAGGCAGACACGTGACAGGGTTGACTCAATATCAACCACATTAATCTGCCATAAGGAATTAAGCACTTGATCCTTCTTATCTTCAATGGCTTTCATTAAGATCTCTTCCTTGTTTTCACCTTGGTTTAACTTCTTTAAATCTTCCTGTAGTTGAATTAATGCTACAGCACCTATACAAATTAAGATAAGCCATAAAAAAAAAAATTCAACATTGAAGGATATGCAGCCTGTGTTTCACCAAATAGCACTCCTTGATAGCAGAAAATGTACCTGAAGCTGCTGATACTTGTGACTTTATCTGGTGTCCTTTATCTCGCACCCATTCTGCTAAAAATGGTACCTTCATGTATCGTTTGTCTTTTCCAATTTCTCTTGCAGCTTTTCTCGTGTAAATATAACCAATTGTATGCAGCATAGCCTCGCCAAAAGCTAATAAAAGAATCACTTATGGATTAATGCAAAATTGTAGTAAGCAAGACACAAAATTAAAGTTTTGTTTGGTTAGCATTTGAAGAGTTTTAAAGTCTACATTAAAACCAATACAATTGGAGAAAAATGCAATATTTCTCCAGTTCATTTATTTATTTTCTGAACAAAGCAGGTCACTTTGTGACTTTAGTTAGAAGGGAGAAATAAGCCTTCATTTTCTTAAGGAAATTGGTTAATAGAATTTAAATGCAGCTTTATCTATCCTTTTAGGCAATATCAGTAGCTAACAATGAAACGAGTTAATAAGTCAGATGATCAGGCAGAAACTCATAACTCCAGATTTTAAAAATCTGGATGGGAAACAACAAAATAGTCCTCTTGGAGGGAGAAAAAGAAAAGGGTTTACCAGCTGTTGAGAGGTGCCTTGCTTCTGAATTTGCCCATTTTACAAACTCATCTGTACGGCCATCAACAAATGGTTGAAGGCGATCTTTCAGAATAGTTATGAGCTTTACTTCCCTTTCCTTCTGCAAGGCCTGCACAATAAGAAATTAAGGAGAGGATTTAATTAAGCGTATTGGAAAAATCAACATTTTGATAACACCAGTGGTCCAGTCAGTGTAAAAGGCATACCCTCATTTTTTCTTGGACTCTCTGCCTATGGACTGCAGGATCCTGCGTCTCTTCCTCAATTTCAACCGATGACAAAGAAGCCAAAGCAAGTTGACCAACATAATCTTCAAAATATTCACTCCCAAAAAGCATCCCAAACACAGCTGCAGGGTCTACCATGGAGTCCCTGGAAAGGGGAGATAGATTTACAGACACAAATATCTTCTAACATGTTTGTTTTAAGATAAAAGAAATAATTAAAAGAAGAAATAAAGAACATTTCTATCTAAAAAGAAAGAAAGAGAGCCTGACAAGGAAAGTATTATTCACCCTTGAATAAAGTGACCATAAAGGACACAATTGAATTAGAAAACAACCACTGACTTTATAAGTTTACCCACTCATACTCTTGCCTACAACCCACACTCATCTCCTATCCTCAAAAAACCCTAAACACAACTCAAAATGATTTCTTTCACATTCTTCATAATATATTGGTGAAAACAAGTGATTTAATGACAAATGGACGCTCAACTTGATGTTTGGGAGTCTTCAAATGAGGAATGAACATAATTTTTTGTATAAATTTTCTGCATTACAGAAACTGGATTCCCTACGTGTTTGGAAAACCAGAGATGAACACGTCAAGAAAGATTTGGCCATGTTGCACCAAATATGTGTTGGATATTTGGCAGTGCAGCACCAAAACTTTAAAAAATATTCAGAAGTCCACAGTTGAATGTCAAGTTAGAGGTTTGGCCAACTGGGGCCGAACCACATATGACATATCTCAATTTTTTCCAAGTTTATTTATATATTTTATAAAACATTGTTAAAATTGAACAAATTTTGAAGCCCTAAACCTACCAACATCCAATGCAAGTCCAAATGACCATTCTTTTTTCAATTTTAACCCCAAATAAAAAAGATTGAAAAACCGAATAGAATTGATGCTTCAATTTTGATGGAGAACTTTTATAGATGCTTTTGGTGATTGAGTAGTCTAAGGTTCAGCTTTTCACTTTGGGTGGGTGTGGGTGTGCAGGAGTTGTTTGAGTTTAGTAAGGTAGCTCAATTTGGGTCTTAGTGTGGGTAATTCTTCAACGTAGTTGAGTCGGTGTAGATATTAAGCTGGGTTAACATATGGAAAAGTTAAGTTTTCAAATAGGGGCAAACAAACATCATCTAGGAATTTGCCAAACTTCTCTTAGGCAAAACTCACATCACGGAGACTAATTGGAGGTAAATATTTTAGAAATGCATGACTACGCTTTCAAGGAAATTACCAAAGGGCATAACATTATTACATCCCCATGTTTGTAAAAACTTACTGTTGTATGCCTGCCTTTCCATGCTTGTCATATGCTTCACGCTTATCTGGATCACTTAAAACCTGATAAGCCTCGCCAAGTGCCTTTATGCACATACGATAAGCAGGAAAATAAACCCCAACATGATAAGAAAACTTATGGTGAAAAATAAAGAAAGCATCATTAGATGGCAAGGAAAGTATTATTCTGTAATTTTACAGGACTCTTCTATAAACCCAACCAGCCAAATATACAACTGGCTTGGAAAGGAAATTTGCAAATTTATTGAGGGCAAGTAGCCCAAATAGAAGCATACTTTCCTATTTCAAGTTAGCATCCAATTTACAATATACTTCTCTAAGTCTTGGCTTTTGCTTTTTCAATGATGCATCTTGGGCCTTCCAAGAAAGAAAGCATCGATTTTATAAGTTTAGAAAGAAGAACAAGTAGTAAAGTGATGGTTATGCACATGATGATCTCAATCATAAGGTATGCTTGTCTATAGACAACTAAATGTAATAGCTTAGATTTTCAGTTAGCTTACTTGGAAATTTTCGGCAGCCTTTGGATCTCCAGGATTTTTATCTGGGTGAACAATCCTTGCCTAGAAACAACACATAAACCCCATAGGTTAATTGAGTAGATGCCACTATCCTACAAATAAAATAAAATGTGGGTACACAAATACAACAAAAAATTTTAAAATTTTTAAACACAAGAAGAAAATCAAGGAAATATATAGCAAAGCACAATGCATAATGATGTGGGGGCAACACTAATAAACAGACCAATGCTGCCCAAGGGTTTGTTCTATGAAGTACTTAAACCTTTTGGACAAACAGTGTTTTGAGGTGAATGAACTTTTTTGACTTTGTACGAGTCTTGGTATCATTAGGCTCATGTTAATGCCGATAGTTTCTGGAGACGAAAATAATGTCATAGGGAATAAGAATTATATATAGTTAAGCCAGAAACCTATAAAAGTTCTAAGAACTGACCCATGGTACTGAATTCAAACAATATACCAACTTGAAGGGCAGCTGGGTATTCAATAAGTACTCCAAAAGCAACTACAAACTTTTGAAACTCTTAGTGGAGAAAACAAAAGAAAGAAACAGAAATCCAATTCCAATTGCCTCCAAAACATTAGTCTAGTTAAAGGTTGAAACAGGTTCTGAGAGCAAAATATGAATAAATTGGGAAAGTGAAAAGCTTTAATTACCTTCACATAGTAAGCCTTTTTAATCTCAGCATAGGAGGCCTCAACATTGACGCCCAATACATCATAGTAGGTAGTGTCCTTCACCATACTTCTCAGATCACAACCTTATCACACAAAACAATCACGCTGAATAAATTAATTGGAAAGATAAAATAAATAATAATAAATTGTATTAAAAAAACTACTTATAGAATTCCATAATTAAGCTAAACTAGCTTCCAAATTAAAACACCCAAGAAATTAAGATAGGAAAATAAAGAATTTCCAACAAGGGAAAAAAAAAAACAGAAAGAACAATTCGAAAACTGCGTCATAAATGAGTGAGATCAATGAGTTTATAGTAGAGGCAGATCTGATCAGAAAAAATAACCAAACCCAATTGCAAGTAAGTAGCAATGTAATCACAGAACGACCCAAAATTAAGTCTTTATATTTCAGTTGAATTAAAACAAGCAAATGAAAAGAACCCAACAAAGGAAAACTTTGAATCTAGCAACTTACGTGTTCTGCAGCTCAGGTAATGAAATGTGGACGATGAAATGAAACAGAGTATGGGCCGGAGAGGAAGAGAGCACTATTATTATTATTTATTTTAGAATTTCCTTAAATAGAAACAGGTCGATATAAAAGACAAGGAGCCACGTCAGAGGATTATGAGGAGGGGTGTTTCGGTAATTTCGTGCACGGCCATGAACATGTTTCAAGGAACTTCCATGCTGCCAACACTTGTTGAACAGACAGCACATGTTCCCGCGAAGTTTCCACCCGGAAACAGTTCCTGTCCTGAGGATTTCGAAGTTAGGAAGTTTCGAGAAATATCATTAAACGAAGAGTTAGTTGGTATGATGGTATCGAAAACACTTGTTCAATCTTGTTTGCAATGTCTTGGTTATGCATGGCCTACTGCAGAGAGAAGAGCTCATAAGAAATGTGACAATTAGATTTATGCTTCTTATGCATGAATTTTTGGCGCACTGTGGTGGGGGAAGATGATGTTGGGGATCTTGGAGGTAATTGCCATGACAAGGAGTTAGTGGTAGTAGAGGTAGTGGTGACTTACATTGTCGTTTTTTTCCGCTTCATAAAACTCTCACTCTCTTGAAATTTTAAGAATGACAACTATTTACATGGAAGTTAATGTTTAAACCTTCAAATCAAGGAAGTTGGTGTATGCAGTTTTAAAATTATGATTTTTGTCTAAATTTCAAGTTTATTTTCCACCATCACAACAAATAGTTCTTTTAAATTGTCTCATCCAAATATATGGTAATGGTATGTTGTTTACATTAACGAATGAGAATTTTAATTTATCGATAGATGCAATTCAATCTCATAGGGAGTTTAGATACTTATTTCGAGAATTGCACTACAAGAAAAGCTCTTTTGGCAACAAGACTTTCAGCGACCTATATAAATTTTGGTCGCCAAAAGGTTTTATTTTATTTTAATTGTAGTAATGTAACTTTCATATTATTAATAGCGAAAAATGAACAATATTTGATTGACAAAAGAAATGCAAACATTATTAAATGACATACTATAGCACAATTTTTCTTAAAACATTTCAAAGTCGAATGCAAAGATGGTAGTTCAACTGATTAAGAATATTTGTCGAAACTTCAAACTTTTTCTTTTAGTCAATAGTGGCTTTCATCGATAATCGCATCAGAAGGAGAAAACTTAGTACAACCATCAAAGAGGAGCCTAAATAGTTGACACAGAAAATACCCCAGCAAAAGCCTCAGAGTGAAGAGAAAAGCCTCCCAAAAGAAACAAAACATAACCACCCTAGGAAGATTAACCTTCTAATATACATGTAGATTAACTATATAAGAAATGGTCACATATGCTCTCGACCCAATCAAAGTATTCTAGGTCTCAACCTATATATAACCTTCAAATGGGCCCACATAAGTCGGTGTACATGAAGTAATTACAGTGATAAATTTTTCATAAGAATCTTCCCTTTCTAGGTCATCTTCAGCTTCGTTGGAGACTGTCCTCTCTTAGCAAAGGAGCGTTTGAACCCTTAAAGACATGGAATTTGAGCTTGATTAAATGAAAATTAAAACGCAAATAAAAAATGGCCCTTTTAAGTACACCAATGTAAATACCAATTAAAAAGCTGGTTGTGGATAAAATTCTTGCACCACAAGTAAATGGTAAAACAAAGTATATAATCCTTTTTTGAATGAAAAAACATGTCTTGTTCTCTCATGAAATACTAGGTTAGCGGCAATAGGTAAATACATCTCTTCCACAGACACACACGCATATATAATATGTTTTTCTCTAATGCGGACGTTCGGATTGTGCTCCTCCTAGTACACTATAGACTCATACCTATTCTAGATGGATTCGAATTCTCTAATTGGATTTTCTATGTTAGGATCTGCTTGACTTTTCATTTTCACATGTCACCTCATTAAAATTTAATTTAAAGATATTGAAATGGATTGTCATTTTATTCGGGATAAAATTCAAGAAGGTTTGATTGCTACACAACATGTGAGTTCATCCTCTCAGTTGGCCGATATTCTTACCGAAGCATTGGGAAAAAAAGAATCAACAGTCTTGTTCGCAAGTTAAGAGTTCTTGACATCCACTCTCCAACTTGAGGGGGAGTATTAAGAAATCTATTTGCTTTCATAGTAAGTTTCCTAGATTACAGGATTAGTTTCCTTGTACATGAATATACTCTTGTATAAATCTATTGTACCTATGATCAATGAAAAGATCATTCAGTCAAATATCAAATTCACAGCATTTGTGGCAGAAATACAACGTTTCTACTGCTCTTGGGTTAGGCCAGGCAAGCAATATAACTATAATATCCTTGAATCAGCACTTAGACAATCTATAAACGGGAGCACAACTCTTCTCAGTTGCATGGCGACAAACAACACGGATCAATATTTGCTGGAAGTCATAATTTGCTTTGATAGCCAAGTGGATCTTATAGTGATCAATTCTAGCTATGTGACTTGATGAATCGTGATCAAGATTGTAATGCTTAATTTGCAGTGTGTGTGTAATGTGTTGTATGTATTATCTATGTTGTATGCTTAATTTGCAGTCGGATATTGAGTTTCAAGTTGTACATCCGACTTTAAATTTATTCGTTGGCTTACGAATTTAAGTGAATTTCATTGAAGATTGCTTGAATCCAAATCTAAAATTAAACATAGGTCTAATTGGAAGTTGTGGTTCCTCCCCAAACCTTCTTAGAATTTGTTTGAACATTGCTTGGTTTATTTATTCTATGGAACAAGCCATTACTCATTATTTGCAAATTAGCTCTAACACATATACTCATTACTTGCAATGTGGCTTGGCGTCTGCTGTTAGCTTGGCTATATAAAAAATTATGTTAAGTGATGACTTTTCACGTACGGACCTACATACTTTTCTGCTTAGTTAGAATCAAATATCAACAAAGACTTAAAAATAAATTCAATTAAAAAAATAAATTAAATGAAAAGATGAAAATAAAAAGAGATTTTCTATTTAAACCCCACACCTCTCTCAGTTCACCCCATGTTCTAAGTTCACCCCATCTTTTAATTTAAATTTTCACAATTTCTAAGAAAACCCCATTATCTTCCCAAACTACCCTTAAATACACCTCAAACTAAAAAATAAATAAATAAATAAATAAAAAAGATTTTCTATTTAAACCCCACAATTTTCTTTGGTCCCAGCAAAAAAAAACACAAACAAATAGAACCCTAAACCTAAAATTTAATACTTTCTAGAGAAAGAGAACAACTTTACCTCTCTCCAATAACTGTAAATGGAATTCCAACACTTTGGTATTGTTGAGTTGATAATAAACAAACCTTTCCATCAACTCCCACGCATATTTAAAGAGGTAGGCTCGTCAATTTTCTATGTCTTTAAAAGAGAAGAGTAATCTGGCAATAGGATGTAGAGAAGTTTGTATTTTTCTAAAACTTGATATGAAGAGTGGTGGGGTGTGTGTATGAATGTACTAGGGTTAATTATTAAGTTGGATGACCTTTTTGTCTTTTTACACAATAATAAAACTTACAGCTTAATGATTTAAGTATTGGGGTGAACAAAGAGAAGTGCGGGGTTTAAATAGAAAATCTCAATAAAAATAACATACAAAAATCTCTCTCTCTCTCTCTCTCTCTCTCTCCCTTTTGAGTGCCTAGATTGTTACTTAGATCTCTGGTAGGCTTGCATGTTATTTTGATTAATTGAGTGCAGATATGTTTATTTTCCCTTAGAACAATTCAATTGAAGCGTCAACAACTTTGTTTATTTCAATCCTCTCTAACAATATCAGAGTCTCAGTACTAAAACTAGAAAACTAATGAAATTGTGAAAAGGACTGAATGGACTCAAACAGTAGATTCGCTAGCCTGGAATGCTCGTGATTCAGAGTCAGAACCTTGAGATTCGAAGTCAGACGAAGTAGATTTACTCCTTGCAAATAATGCATACAAATAATTACACTTGCAGACACAAGAAGTCAGACGAAGGCTTCCCTGACCGGGCTCGATTTCTTCCACGTGTCCTGTTTTTATTGGCTGTTCATTTTGGGTATAAACACCTTTGTTATTAGATGGGCGCCAATACTGACCTGGTGACGGCATGGCCAAGCTTCAGGTGGCCCGATCCAACTATGTTCTGGGGATATGAATACATCATGCACGGCGCCTGCTTTAATAATCAGACATGGTACTTCAATACAGCCTTAGATTTGTGGAGGCAACACAACGTTACTGCTCTATTGGGGCACACCAATGGATATCCTTCCAGTTACAGAGACCTTAACTTAACCGTTAGCCGATCTATACATGGGAAAAGACCTCTTCTCACATGCTGGAAGTCATAATTTGCTTTCGCCAACCAAGACCGTATAGAATAGCTCCTATAGTGATCGATTGTATAAGGGATACAAACTGTGATGTAAGAGTAGCTATCTTGCATCAGCTATAGGTAGATATATTGATATTAATGTAATAAATGTAATATCGTGATCAAGTATATGTAATCTATGTTTGGATAATTAATGTCTTAGTGCAAATCTCCCTTTCGAATCAGTGCAAAGTCACAATTTACTCACACCTTTTCTTTCTCATGCGCATTTCTTTTTCTTTTTTCTGATTTGATTACCATTAGCCACTTGCATCACATGCATCGATCGCATGTGTAGTGCTTCTGATATATACATAGAAACCAACCCAGGCAGATCAACTATATAAGAAAATGGTATAATTTTACTACAATCACATTCTCTCGACCCAATCAAAGTGTTTCTAGATCCCAACCTAAAACCTTCAAATTTGCCCACATAACATTGTGCACGTACATGAAGCAATTACGGTGATCAATTACATATCCATATCAGAATCTGGATATTCTACTTCATCTTCATTACGGAGACTGCCTTCTCTCAGGAAAGGAGCGGTTGCACCCTAAAAGAAATGCAATTTGAGCTTGATTAGAAGAAAATTAAAATGCAAGTAAAATTTGGTCATTTTAAGCACACCAATACGTTATGTAAATATAGCTCCAAAGTTTCGGTCGTGGATAAAATTCTTGCCGCACAAGTGAATACTAAACCAAGTATATAAGCCTTTTTTCGGATGAAAATACAGGCAAAGAGAGAAGCATGGGTTACTTGGAAGATCATGCCGAACATCTCCAACGCTTCAGCGCGTAACTTTAGAACATCCTCCGGCACAGTGGGTTCTTTAAATATCTGAAAAGGAAAACATTATGTATCAAATCATTTCTCTTCAAATATATATATGCCCGCGCCTTACGTACGGAGTTATTTAGGAGTCTGTCTCTAGGATACAACTATCATTATTCAAAGTCCGGGCACTTGGACTTTGAATTCCGGCAAACTATGTATGTTTTCTCTCTCAATGTATTCCAGTGATTGAGTGATGAATATTCAGTGCCTACAGTAGATTTTGGAGCTATCTTTTCCAAAAACTACAAACCCTAGTTTTCTATTCAAACTTCCAACATAGTTTTTTTTTAATCTCTCTGTTTGGATACAAGTTTAGGAAGCGAGCAACCTAGAATTTAATTAAGCTAAAGAAAGGAAATAATGAGGACTCACTGCATGGGAGACATTTGACAAAGTTATCACAAGATCAAGCATAGCAGCATCCCATCGTATACCAAATGTTGGAGCTTCTAAATCTTGAATAATACGCGTCCGGAAGCGATCTTCAAAGTCCTCAGGCTCCATCATGTCTTGTTGTAGAACTACACGTTCAGCCTCTACAAATTCAGACAAAGCATGATCATGAGTTTGTCAATCCATTTAAAATAAATAAATAAGATATATACAACTCATTTTTCATTCGTATTATTATTATTATTATTTAGACCACATTTACTAGCGATTTTGCTCTATTAGAGAGGTGCTCGGTAGACGTAGTTCAAATAATTTTATTCTTAGTTTCAATTTAGTCCAAATAGTAGAACTCTTTGATATAGCAGACCTTTAGCTGATCCTATTTGTGGCCGCATCTCGTATGCCCTGGGACCTTTATTCTCCACCCATCCGTCTAAACCACCAAACGCACGCTTCTTTCCAAGCTCTTGTCTGGCCTTCGCCCAGTAAACATGGCCGATTGAATGTAGCATATACTCGCCACAGGCTGAGAAAAAAAATACACAATAATTAATACTAATTTGAAAGCATTGCTATATTTTCTGAAGAACACAGGCCGTTTGGTGACTTCAATATAAGAGATTTTAAGTTTTCATTTTTTAGGAAATGAGTATCAAAAGTTAAAAGGGGCTTTTTATATTACTTGTTCTTTTTTCACTAAGAATTGGGATGTTACATAATCTTTTCAAATGAACTCTTTTTATGGCATGTTTATTAATTCGTAATCGGAAGAGGAGGAATTCGATTAATGATGAGCTAGATTGAGAAGTAGTCCGGAGTCCAATCGAAGTTGTTTACTAAACTACCTGGAATCGAGGTAAGATTGGTACTAACAATATACAAGGTCAATCTGACAATACATAGTCATATATGGGTTTTTTTTTTCTTGTATTGTATAGGGAAAAAAGAGAGTAAGAAACTAACCAACGGTTGAGAGGGTTCGTGCTTCTGAATCTACCAATTTCACAAACTCATCCTTACGACCATCAACAAATGGTTGGATGCGATCTTTCATAAACTTTATAAGTTTTTCTTCCCTTTCCTTCCGGAATGCCTGCATAGAAAAAAAAAAAAAGTAGGTGGAAAATGGATGTAATTTTTTTAGAGGAAAGGAATTTATCAAGCACACTGAAAGTAAAAAAGGCATACTCCCATCTTCTCTATTGCCTTCTCCTTGCGAACTTCAAGATCCAGGGTCTCTTCTTCCATTTCAAGAAGTGAATAGAAAGTATTCATAGCAAATTGACCAATATAATCTTCAAAACGTTCACTCCCGAACATAATACAATATGTAGTATCAGTGTGTATCCAGTAGTCCCTGCCAAAACGACAATGTAATTTCATTGGAACAAAAACCGGTTTCGTGTTTTATCTATTGTATTCAAGAAAATGTTAGGGAGACTACATAATTATAAACATCTTTGTGCACTCTTCTCTAATAGAGGTGGGACCTATTGTATAGGTCGGCTCCACTCTATCAAAGATGCGGTACACAATGTTGTCTCTCTATCATCACCCATTAGTTCATTACAAAAAGTTTGTTTGTGTAAAACTCAACATAAAAAAGAATCAATCGAAAGCAAATATTTTGGAAGCTGCCTTTGCAACTATATGTCTTTCAAGCAACCTGAAAATGGTTATCAAACCGACCCAAACTGTTAAATTTTATTTCCAATTTTGGACAAACTTACTGTGATATGCATAGCTTTCCATGCTTCCCAAACCGTGCACGCATGGTACGATCGCTTAGAACCTGGAAAGCTTCACCAAGTGCCTTCATGCAGACGATAGCCAGGAAAAATGAGCATCATAAGATTATAGAAGCTACCAAACTTGACTCACATTCAAGTTGGCATCAAATTTAATTCTCTAAATCTCGGGTTTTTGTTTTACACTTATGCATCAAAATATAATAGCTTACCCGAAATTCTTCGGCAGCCTTGGGATCTCCAGGATTTTTATCCGGGTGAACTTGTGTTGCCTAGAAAGAACACATCAAGCACAGTAGATAGATGCTACAATAATATTCTTCAAAATGCCTTTTTTTTTTTTCAAACGTGAGAAGGAAATCTAAGAAAAATATATCAGAGTACATTTGCCAAAGCAATGTGTTCTACGATGTTCTTAAAAGCTTTTTATCAGAATTGGGAAAATTGGGAGGTTTGAATTTGATTACCTTGAGATAGTAAGCCTTTCTTATCTCAAAATAAGTGGCGTCAACATTGACGCCCAATGTATCATAATACCCAGTCTCCCTCACCATGCCTATCAGATCACAAGATTCACAGCTCAGGTAACGAAACACAGTAAATGGTAGGGAGAATGATGAGATGAGGGATATATACTGTGTAAGAAAATTGGAAAATAAAACGTCTAACTGTCTAACAAACTATACCCAACCTTTTAGGTGCTCGATGATCCGTAATTCCCGATAGAATAGTATAGGCATGGGAAGTTCATTTCCAAGAAGTTCAATCCGGAAACTAAACGGACCCTTACACTTATAGGAAGAAGAAAAATAAAACACAGAAGGTTATTCATTATTTTGGCACCCTCCAAATGTATGGTTTTAAACTTTTTGCTGAATAACCTTCTGTGTGCCAAAAATTTTCAAGCAATGTTTTTCCTACTGATTCAAACCGAACAGAAAAGTGTAGTATAACGACCCAGTCGGTTTGAGGCCCAATGTATCAATTAACAGTGGAGATTTTGGCCTATCTAAAGTTCAGTACAGTGTTTTTCCTACTGATTCAAACCGAACAGAAAAGTTTAGTATAACGACCCAATCGGTTTGAGGCCCAAGGTATCAATTGACAGTGGAGATTTTGGCCTATCTAAAGTTAACGGGTTAGACTTTTTGCTGAACTGAACCGATTTGTGCCTAGACTTGGACACAAATACGACCCGTTACGCAAATTGCCACACTCCTCTTTGCCAACCCGACCGTAACATCATGCCCGAAAATTTCCCCGAACTCATTCTCATACTCGGATTTCTATCCTTCATACCCGACCCATTAGGGACGAAAGCTTCGCGAAGAATGTAGCCCGTAATGCGTGGGGAAAATAGACACTGCCTAATAGGGAGCTGCCATGCAGGAGTAGAGCTCCATCTCTCATTTCTGTCAATTTGTCAAACAAATGGAGATCACCACCATGTCCCAAGCCATGCAGCTCCATGCCCAAATCCTCAAGGCAGGCAACCAGCAAAACCAAAACCTCTCAAAGCTCTTCACATTCTCTGCTCTGTCTCCCTCTGGAGACCTCTCCTACGCCCGTCTCATTTTAGACTCATTCCCTGCCCCAAACTCTTACTACTACAACACCATGATCCGAGCCTACTCTCAAAGCTCCGACCCGATTCAAGCCCTCCTTCTCTTTCTACCCATGCTTGAAGACCCGGCCCACCACACGCCCCGTCCCGACAAGTTCACATACCCTTTCCTCCTCAAGTCCTGTGCCCGTTTGAGACTGACCCATGAAGGAAAACAGCTTCATGGGTTGATAGTCAAGTCGGGTCTCGAGTGGGACCGGTATATCCAGCACTCATTGATACATATGTACTGTTTGGGTGGCGAGTCGGGTCTTGCTTATATGGTGTTCGACAGAATGCCTGACAGGGATGTGGTGTCATGGACCTCAATGATTGATGGGCTCGTTGAGGATGGTAGGCCCATCGAGGCAATAAGGTTGTTTGAGCAAATGGTGGATGATGGGGTGGAGGTGAATGATGCGACGGTTGTGTCGGTTTTGAGAGCTTGTGCAGAGACGGGGGCGTTAGGCGTTGGGAGGAGAGTGCATGGGGTTGTTGAAGGTAGAGGGATTGGTTTGAAGGCTAATGTTAGTAGTGCTCTTATTGATATGTACGCAAAATGTGGGTGCATAAAGAGTGCAAGGCAGGTTTTTGATGACATTGTGGACAAAGATGTTTTTGCATGGACGGCTATGATGTCGGGCCTTGCTAGCCATGGTCATTGTCAAGATGCTATTGACTTGTTCGGTAAGATGCAAGGTTTTGGTATTAAACCTGATGAGAGGACAATGACTGCAGTTTTATCGGCGTGTAGGAATGCGGGTCAAGTTGCAGAAGGTTATGCATATTTGAGAAGTATGCAAAATGAATATGGAGTTAGGCCTAGAATTCAACACTATGGATGCATGGTAGACCTCCTTGCTAGAGCGGGTCATTTGAAAGAGGCTGAAGAGTTCATCAGAAAAATGCCCATTGAACCTGATGTGGTTATGTGTAGAAACTTGATATGGGCTTGCAAGGTCCACAAGGATACTGAGAGAGCAGAGCGTTTGATAATACATCTTAGGCAGCTAAAGATGGGTTCAAATGATAGCGGAAGTTATGTACTTATTGGCAATGTGTATGCATCAGTGGGAAAATGGCATGACAAGGCAAGGGTTAGAGAATTAATGAAGCAAAAAGGACTAGTAAAACCACCAGGGTTTAGTAGGATTGAGTTAGACGGAGAAATTCATGAATTTGCCGTAGGAGATTCAGGTCACTCGGAAGCAGAAACAATATACAGAAAATTGGAAGAAATAGAAGATAATTTGAGGAAAGAAGGGTATGATCCAAAGCTTTCAGAGGTTTTGCTTGAAATTGATGCTGAGGAGAAAGCTTTTCAATTGAGTCACCACAGTGAGAAGCTTGCTCTTGCCTTTGGTCTAATTAGAACAAGTCCAGGGTCTGAAATTCGGATTGTGAAGAACTTGCGATCTTGTGAGAACTGCCATGCTGTTATGAAACTAATTTCAAAGGTTTACCAACGAGAGATAATAATGAGGGATCGAATACGATTCCACCATTTCAAGAATGGGGATTGCTCTTGCAGGGATTACTGGTGATATTTCAGTAGGAATACCATTTTGATTGGTAATTAATTCTTTGCATTTCCAAATTTTAATTGATATGTATACCAACCGAGTAACCTCATGACCACCTGTTCCTCAATCATCATGGGAGAACTCAATGGAACTGAGAGGGCAAGAAACCTGATGGGGAGAAAATGAAAGCATATGGTTGGAAATTTGGGATGTACATGGTTCACTTTCCTGTGTTCTCAATGAAATTGCATACAGGCTATAGCAGATGCCTAGAAAGGAAAGTCTCTGCTACTAACATAAGGCCACAGCTATAGCAGATGCCTAGAAAGGAATGTCTCCCAGCTACTAACAAAAGGCCACATTTCAGGTAAGATTTAGCTGTCACTGCTCTTCATTTATGTCTTCATACAATTTAATCCACCATTGGGTGCATTTTACTGCTTTCCATGTAAAATTGTAGAAAGCATACACATCAAACTACCAAACCAGAATATTTATGATGAAGGAACGGTTAAGTATATTCACTTTGTCAGAGAGAAGTGTAAGCCCATGGCATATATGCCATTTGAAGAGCCAAAGGAAAAGCTCTGCTAATAGCATAAAAAAGCCCGGTTGAACTTTTCTAATTGTATTTATGACCTACAGAAACAAACTGTATAGTTTAAAATTCGCTAGATAGTTGATTCGATGCAATCCGGTCTCTGAGCTTTAGTACTGACTACTGAGACTCTGGGACAAAACCCTAAAGTTGTTGTGGCAAGCCAAGGTTCGAACTGAGATATGACATTGAAATACAGCTCTAGTTTACTTACTGTCAGCCACCCCATTAGGGTTTGAGTTTTCGTCATCCCAGAAATGTTAAATTTGAACCATTGACTGTGGTTTTGGTTTGATTTATTTAGATTCTCTGTTTCTGAATATTACATCGATGGCTTGAACTGCTGGATGTGGTATTTGCATCAATCCTGAACACTAAAAGAAATAAGTAACTCTTCCTTGTTTTCTCATGGCTTCTACTTCACATAACTTGCTTGGTGAATTCTAGGTTTCAGCAATGGTAAATTCTCTCAAACTAGTTTAGGACGTTTTACACCCTTCTTTTTTCATTTTCTAATGGATAAAGTTTTGGGACGTCATCAGAGACTTGTAGAATATCAAGTACATTAAAAACCAATTATCTGACTCTTATACACACCCAGATAGATATCATATCGTGCAGAATCTCCCTACTTGCATGATTGAAGTTCCTGATTGAATTATTTTTTGTATAAAATAAAATAAATAAATATTCTGATTGAAGCATTTCTAAACTACCAAAATATATATATAATTCTTCTATGCAAACGTCCGGACGTTATTATCGGTTCCTTTAAGTGCACAACCACCAAGTGATTAGATGCGCATGTAATTTTATTCCTTCCTTGCAACATCTTCTATCATATTTATATTCTTCTATATAAATATTTGAAAGCAAAAAGTCTAAAGATATGGTACTTGAAAGCAAAATGAGTTCCAAAGATTGGATAATAAAGAGTGAGATGGATCATGAACGCATATTATATTGGTAATCAGTTGTTAAGAATAACATCAATAGAATTAATAAAATCTTTGACAAGCATCAAAGTCTTATATCACAGCCTATCTAACACGATCAACATAATTAATTTAAGCTTCCATTTTAAAAAAACACTAATCTCCCACTAAACAAAACCAAAGAATTGAGATGCCTTTTTCGCCCTTTTTCCCTAATCCATGTGAGCCTTTGAAAGAGCATGGCTGGCCACTAGCTCTCACCATCCCTTCACTGATGCCTTTAAGACTGATGCCTTTAAGTACAGTTCTTTCCCAACGTGCAATTCAAATCCAAGCAGAAGGGAGATTGGCAGGTGATTGCATCATCTTTGTTCCCTCTTTTCAGAAGATGGGTCTATACAAGTACATTGCATTTTTTATTTTTTGGACTGAAATAATAAAAAATAAAACCTAAATTCACCGACTTTTCATGTATCCCCACCCCCTTATTTTCTTTTGAATTTTGATCTGAATTCGATTTAATTAATTGGAGATAGATATTGTGGCATAATTTCGATAATCCGTTAACCCGTTAAGTTAACAAAATAAATCCGAATTTGGTATTATTCGATCCGATAACGAGCCGGTCCGATTTGATATAATATTTGTATTTATTTTTTATTTACTATATATATATATATATATTTTTTGTGAAATTTTTGTAAATAAAGAAGAATATTTTTCAACTTTTTTATATATGACATAAAAGAATTCGGATCGGGTTATCAGATCCGACATCTGATAATCCAACAAATCGGATATGTTTTTTTTATTTTATTTTAATATAGGACATTTCCTATTGAAAGGGACATAGTATACTAAATTCACACGCACTACATTGATATATATATATATTTTGTGAAATTTTTGTAAATAAAGAAGAATATTTTTCAACTTTTTTATATATGACATAAAAGAATTCGGATCGGGTTATCAGATCCGACATCTGATAATCCAACAAATCGGATATGTTTTTTTTATTTTATTTTAATATAGGACATTTCCTATTGAAAGGGACATAGTATACTAAATTCACACGCACTACATTGATGCTAGAACT